TTTTGTTTTTTTTGAGACAGAGTCTCGCTCTGTCATCCAGGCTGGAGTGCAATGGTGAGATCTCGGCTTACTGCAACCTCCACCACCTGGGTTCAAGCAATTCTCCTGTCTCAGCCTCCTGAGTAGCTGGGACTAAAGGCACACACCACCAACCCCGGCTAATTTTTGTATTTTTAATAGAAATGGGGTTTTACCATATTGGTCAGGCTGGTCTCGAACTCCTGACCTCAGATGATCTGCCTGCTTCAGCCTCCCAAAGTGCTAGGATTACAGGCATAAGCCACCATTCCCAGTCTACACACAGTTTTAAGTAAACAATAATGTAATTTCAGCAAAGCAAAATGAGGTCCTAATTTTTTTTCAGTGTCGTTCAAAATGTTTACACTATATTCCAAAAATAATTCCACAATTATTTCTGCATATGTGAGAAGATATGCACCTTCTGTAACTGCAAAAGAGTTATACGGTTGCCTTATGCAGTCCAACTAAAATAATTTTTATTCCTAAATTGTTTGGCCTGTTAAATCATATGTTTTCACTACTAAGTTCCCATAAAGCTCTTGGTTACTGTCACTCCTTTGATGACAAACATTTGCTCCATTAATATGAACTTAATACCCCACTTTGGAATGCTCCAATACCAATTCTACCATAACTTTCTTCTTAAGGATCAACTTATAGTATCATCAGTTGGAACACATTTTAAATGACAAACTCAACTTGTCTGGTATCAACCTCCACCTCCCAGGTTCAAGCGATTCTCCTCCCTCAGCTTCCCCAAAGTAGCTGGGACTACAGACACACACCATCATGCCTGGCTAATTTTTGTATTTTTAGTAGAGACAGGGTTTCACTATGTGAAATGTGGGAGCACTAATATGATTATTGTTGTAATGGAAAATATAAAAGATAAAAATACAGAATAATAGAAGTACCTAAGTCAACCTGCTTCACTCAGTGAGGAAAAGCTTCAGGTTGTTGGCTCTCACCTGAGCCCAGAAAGATGAGTAAGATTTCACTAAGATTTTGCCAACGAACAAGCAGACAGATGGCAATCCAAGAAATGAATAGAACATATGCATAATCATGTTATTATGTGGCAGGTACTGTTTTAAGAGCTTTACACATACTACTTCCGTAAAAGACAGATCTAAAACAGGATAAAATATTTGGAGATTTCATCTGACTCAGAGCTCACTTTTCAATAGCCCTAACCACAAGGCATTTGCAAAAAACAATCGGCCGGATGCGGTGGGGCTCACACCTGTAATCCCAGCACTTTGGGAGGCCACAGCAGGCTACCTGAGCTCAGGAGTTCCAGATCAGCCTGAGTGACATGGTGAAACCCTGTCTCTACTAAAAATACAAAAATTAGCCAGGCATATAGTGGCAGGAGCCTGTAATCCCAGCTACAAAGGATGCTGAGGCAAGAGAATCACTTGAACCGGGGAGGTGGAGATCGTACCACTGCACTCCAGTCTGGGTAACAGAGTGAGAATCCGTCTCAAAAAACAAACCAAAAAAACAACAATCAACAGCAACTGTTTATCATTGCAGCTACTGTGATGGCATTACAAGTTTGGGCTATCAAGAAGCTGAACAAAAACTGAAAGGGAAAACTGGAGAATGAGATGTTCATAGGGGGCTTTAAAAAGCTCTGACAGGCCGGGCACAGTGGCTCATGCCTGTCATCTCAGGACTTTGGGAAGCTGAGAGGGGTGGATCACCTGAGGTCAGGAGTTACAGACCAGCTTGGCCAACATACACGGTGAAATCCTGTCTCTACCAAAAATAAAAAAAAATTAGCCAGGCATGGTGACGTCTGTAATCTCAGCTACTCGGGAGGCTGAGGAAGGAGAATCGCTTGAACCCAGGAGGCAGAGGGTGCAGTGAGCTGAGATTGTGCCATTGCACTCCAGCCTGGGCAACTCAAAACTCTGTCTCAACAAAAAGCTCTGACATACGCCAGAGAACCTAGAAGGCCACGCACATGCACAGAGCTGTATAGATGTCCAGGAAAGACCTTAGCAAACTCTCATCTCTATCTGACCTTGAGGTTCTGTTAACACAGGAAGTAAAGGCAAAAGCAGTTGTAAACTGCTTGATGGGACACTGATGTTGTACCCTACAAAGACAGCTCCCCAACATAAATGTGGAGACTTAATTATTTAGGACATTTAAGAAAATTTCCATCCAATGATCACTTTGTTCAGTAAACTACCTAAGCAGAGACTTCAATGGCCACACACTCAAAATATAGGCTGTACAGAATTACAGGAGAGGACTTAACAGAAGTCCAGGAAAGTCACTAAACCAATAACAGTAAGAAACCATGTCTGGCTCATCTAAACTAGTTCCAGTGGGATAGGGAATTAAACTTCAAACACAGCATGTAGTTGAAGATAAAGTTGGAACAGATATGCTGGAGAAACAGATCACTGCTTTTGAGGACCATGTGCAGTCCACGGATGTGGCTCCTTTTAAGAAGATTTAAAATCCAACCTGGATCACTGCACTTAAAGTTTCAAAGTCAAAAAAAAAGAAACCATGTTTGGCCAGGTATGGTGGTTTATGCCTATAATCCCAGCACTTTGGGAAGCCGAGGTGGGCACAGCTCTTGATCCCTGGAGTTCGAGACTAGCCTGGGCAACATGATGAAACCCCGTCTCTACAAAAAATCACAGAAATTAGCCAGGCATGGTGGCAAGTGTCTGTGGCCCCAGCTACTTGGGAGGCTACGGTGGGTAGATCTCTTGAGCATGGAAGATTGAGTCTACAGTGAGCCAAGATAGTGCCACTGCACTCCAGCCTGGGCGACAGAGTGAAACCCTGCCTCAAAAAACAAAACCGAACCAAACTCAAACAAACCATGTCTGAGAGAGAGAAAGGGGGTGGGAAGGTAGGGGGTGGGATTTAAATACAACTTATTTAAAAATATCCAATCTTTGGCCAGGCCCAGTGGCTCACGCCTGTAATACCAGCACTTTGGGAGGCCAAGACGGATGGATCACAAGGTCAGGAGTTCGAGACCAGCCTGGCCAAGATGGTGAAACCCCATCTCTACTAAAAATACAAAAAAATTAGCCAGGTACGGTGGTAGACACCAGTAATCTCAGCTACTCAGGAGCTTGATGCAGAGAATTGCTTGAACCGGGAGGCAGAGGTTGCAGTGAGCCGAGATCACACCACTGCACTCCAGCCTGGGTGACAGAGCGAGACTCCATCTCAAAAAAAAAAAAAATAAATAAATAAAATTTTCAAAAAAACACAAAAACCAAAAATCTTTTTTTTTTTTTTTTTAAGACAGAGTCTCACTTCATCTCCCAATGACATGAACTCAATTATATTTCCCAAATCCAATTTAGGCCACTGTTACAGAACGTTTCACTGTTCTGCTCCCAAGAACCTCTCCAAACTGACATACCACTCACTACCACAAGCAGCAAAAGGGTCACACAGAACATTCTTTCATTCAAGATTTAACCACAAATCTGACATCACCCTATCTATATATATTTCCTTTAATCTTTTTGAGAAGAGATGGCCTGATCAGGTATATATCCTCAGAACACATCTCTATTTCGACATCCATGCTCAGGTCTCTCTGCAATAGAGTACTGATCTGGTTTTAATTGGCATGCATGCATCTGTCTATCTATTCAGAAATGTTTCCTGTACACCTGTTATATGCCAGGTGCTAAGAATCAAAGAATATATATACATATCAAGCTCTTGTCAGAAAAGTTTAATCTTGAACTGTTAAACTAAGAGATGATATTATGGATGAGTGCAGTTCAGTAAGTTACCTAAATTTTTATCTTTTAAAAAAATTTTCCTCCAGCCAGGCACGGTGGCTCACACCTGTAATCTCAGCACTTTGGAAGGCTAAGGTGGGCAGATCACTTAAGATTGGGAGTTCGAGACCAGCTTGGGCAACATGGTGAAACCCATGGCTCTACTAAAAATACAAAAATTTGCTAGGGATGGTGGCACTGCCTGTAATCCCAGCTACTCAGGAGGCTGAGGCAGGAGAATTGCTTGAACCTGGGAGGCGGAGGTTGCAAGTGAGCCAAGAGTGCACCATTGCACTCCAGTCTGGAAAACAGAGCAAGACTCCATGTCAAAACAACAGCAACAAAAAACAGGGTCTCACTCTTGCCCAGGCTGCTATGCAGTCAGTGGCGTGATCACAGCTTACCGCAGCCACAACCTTGCCAGGCTTAGGTGATCCTCCCACCTCAGCCTCCTGAGTAGTGAGGATCACAGGCGTGCACCACCACACCCAGCTAATGCTTGTATTTTTTTGTAGAGATGGGGTTTCACCATGTTGCCCAGGCTGGCTGCAAACTCCTGGGATCAAGCCGTCCATGCACCTCAGCCTCCCGAAGTGCTGAGATTACAGGAGTCAGCCACTGGGCCTGGCCTAATGTTTTCTTAATACTTCTTAGGGGAAATTTTAACACTAGGAATGGCTCCTCAGCAATTGATTTGTTCTGGTCTTCTAACAATGAATAATGTAACTGAAAACTCTTTTTCTTTTAACTATGTGCTCTTAGAGCTAGATTTAGCCCATCTACGATGCAGACTTATGGTATGCATTTTTGGCTATCATACTTCTAACATGAAATGATTATCTCCTTATTCCCACTTGATCTATTTATTTCCACCAATTTCCCTGTTTAAATAGTGTTATGTTAATCTTTGTAAGCCAAACCCTACGTAAAATAAGGCTTGGTACAAACAACAACTTGAATCCAACAAAACATTTTATAGGGATCCAGATCCTTAAAAAGCTGTCTAGACTTATTTTATTAGATACCAAAGATGCTACTTTATTTAATCTTAGCAGTTTTAACACATGAATAGGATATCAAAGTCAAGTGAAAGAACAATCAGTATCCAGAAGATTTTTTATAGATCATTAAATATTCTTAGTTCTTCACTAACAGAATGAACATGACTGAATATGACTATCTGAACCCCATTAAAGAAATAAGTACCTGACTTCAAGGGCTTTGATAGCTTCTAGCATTTGTAGAAACTCTGCTGCTTTCCATACGTCATTGGCTTCTTCTTCTCCTTGTATCATTAATTTTGCTGTATATGTGAACTCAATTAAATGGCGAAAGGCCATTTTACTAACACCTGTAAAGAAGATGTACATTAGAGCATGTATTCATATTGACTCAAAATCTTGTAACATTTAGTAAAGAAAGAAAAGCTAAGGGCTTGGAGCTTGATCAGTATTTTTTATTTTTGGAAACTATTTTCTGGCAGAAATCTCATTAGCAATACAGTAATATCACAGTCAAATTCCAGCACTACCTAGCTGGAAAATCTTAAACTGCTTTAAGATTTTCCCCAAAGATTTCTTGAGGCTCTGGAGAAAGAACAGTAAGAGTGTATCACTCAAATATATGAATTGGCTATTACATGTCAGACATGCTACATTTCTTGCCAGGGAGGTTACAGCTGTGCCAAGTCAGCTCCAAAATCTTCAATAGTTTTTCACAACTTAGCAAACAAAATTCAGTATCTCTTTGACTTTATTTCAAGGCCTTTCACATTATTTTCCTATTTACCTTTCCAAATTTTAAACTGTTTCACATATACACTGTATACTATTTCTTAAACCCTGTACTTTCTAATAGCTGACTTGGCTTTATTAACACCCTCCTAGTTGTTGAATGCTTAATCATTTTATCTCTGATTATACTCATCTTACCACCCCTTAAAGGTCCAACTTTAATGGTACATGTTCAATGAAACCTTTTAACATTCAAGAACATGAGACCTACCCTCTTAACACATTTTTAAGTATACATTATTGTTGACTATAGGTACATTGTACAGATCTCTAGGGTTTGTTCATCTTGCTCAGTTCAAACTTTACGCCCATTGATTAGTAAATGTCCATTTCCTCCTCCCTCCCAGCCCCTAGTAACCTCTATTCCACTCTGACTTCCAATCTATTTTAGACAGCTCATATTATGAGTGGAACTAACAATTTTAGATTCCTCATATAAATGGAAATATGCAGTGTATGTCTTTCTGTGACTGGCTTATTTCACACAGCATAATGTCCTCAATGTTCATTTATGTTGTTGCATATGAAGCATACCCTTGTTTTTAAAAGCTGAATTCCATTAGATACATGTACTACATTTTCTTTATCCATTAATCTGTTGATGAATATTTAAGTTATTTCCTCTCATGGCTACTGTAAATAGTGCTGCAATAAACATAGGAATGCTAAAACTTCAAGATCCCAATTTCAGTTCTTTTGGATAAATGCCCAGTAAGTAGGATTGCTGAATCGTATGGTGTTTTAATTTTGTGAGGAACATTCATAGTTTTCCATAATGGCTGCACCCATTCCCACCAACAATGTGCAAGGATTTCAATTTATTCATATCCTCACCAACACTAGTTTTTTTTGTTGTTGTTGTCATTTTTTTTGTTTGTTTGTTTTTTTGAGAGGGAGTCTCACTCTGTTGCCCAGGCTGGAGTGCAGTGCTGCAGTCTTGGCTCACTGCGACCTCGGTCTCCCAGGTTCAAGCAATTCTCCCGCCTCAGTCTCCTGAGTAGCTGGGATTACAGGCGTGTGCCATCATACCCAGCTAATTTTTTTTTTTTTGTATTTTTAGTAGAGACAGGGTTTCACCATGTTGGTCAGGTTGGTCTTGAACTCCTGACCTCATGATCCACCCACGTTGGGCTCCCAAAGTGCTGGGATTACAGGCGTGAGCATCTTTTTTTTTTTGACAGCCATCCTGAAAGGTGTGAAGTGATATCTCATAGGCTTCTGATTTGCATTTCCCTGATGACTAGCGACACTGAACTTTTTTTTCATAAATCTGTTGGCCATCTGTATGTTTTCTTTGGAGAAATGTCTATTCAAGTTCTTAGAACATTTTAAAAACATTTTTAATTTTTTCTACATCATTTGGACTGTAGAGTTGCCACTTTTTTGAGTTATCACATTTTTTAATTGGGTAGATTTTTTTTTACTGTCAGTTGTGGGAGTTTCTTATATATTTTAGGGATTAATTCCTTATCAGTTATTTGGTTTTGCAAATATTTTCTCCTTAGATTTCCTTTCACTCAATTTTTTCTTTGCTGTACAGAAGCTTTTTAGTTTGATGTAGTCCCAGCTGTCTATTTTTTGTTGTTGGCTATGCTTTTGATGTCACATCCATGAAATCATTGCTAAGAATGACATCATGAAGACTCCCCCTCATGTTTTCTTCCAGGAGATTTTCATTTTTGGTCTTATGTCTAAGTCTCTAATTCATTTTGAGTTTCTTTGTACGGTAAAAGATAGGGGTACAATTTCATCTTTTTGCATGTGAATATCTAATTCTTTCAACATCATTTGTTGCGGAGAATATTCCTTCCCTATTGTGCATTCTTGGCACCCTTGAAGATCAGCTGACCATATTATTTGCATGGATTACTCGTAGGCTCTCCATTCTGCTCCATTGTTCTGTACGCATGTCTTTATGCTAGTCCCATACTGTTTTGGCTACTGTAGCTCTGTAAAATATTTTGGTATCAAGAAGTATGATGTTGGCTGGGCGCAGTGGCTCATGCCTATAATCCCAGCACCTTGGGAGGCCAAGGCTGGTTGATCACCTGAGGTCAGGAATTCAAGACCAGCCTGGTCAATATGGTGAAACTCAGTCTCTACTAAAAAAGAAAAAAGAAAAAAAATTAGCTGGGGGTGGTGGTGCAAACCTGTAATCCCAGCTATTTGGGAGGCTGAAGCAAGAGAATCACATGAACCCAGGAGGCAGAGGCTACAGCAGACTACAATCACACCACTGCACTCCAGCCTGGGCAACAGAGTGTGACTCCCTAAAAAGAAAAAAAAAAAGTATGATGCCTCTAAGCTTTACTCTTTCCCAAGACTGATTTGGCTATTCCAGGACTATCTGTAGTTCCATATGAATTTCTGAATTGCTTTTTGTTTTCATAAAAAAAAAAATAAAAAATAAAAAATTCCATCAGGATTTTGAGGGATTGTATTGAATCTATAGTCCACTTTCTGCAATACAGGCTGGATATCCCTCAGATGAAAAGCTTGAGATCACAACTGTTTTGGAGTTTAGAATATCTGCATTATACTTAACATTGTTTGAACATTCCAAAGCTGAAAATCTGAAATCCAAAATGCTCCAACAAGCATTTCCTTTGAGTCAGGTTGATACTCAGAAAGTTTCAAATTTTATAGCGGTTCAATTTTTTTTGTTTTGTTTTTTGAGATGAAGTCTCACTCTGTTGCCCAAGATGGAGTGCAGTGGTGCAATCTCAGCTCACTGCAACCTCCACCTCCCAGGTTCAAGCAATTCTCCTGCCTCGGCTTCCCAAGTAGCTGGGCCTACAGGCACATGCCATCATGCCTTGCTTATTTTTGTATTTTTAGTAGAGAAAGGGTTTCACTACGTTGGCCAGGCTGGTCTTGAACTCCTAACCTCGTCATCTGCCCACCTCGGCCTCCCAAAGTGCTGGGATTACAGGCATGAGCCACTGTGTCTGGCCAGCAGTTCAGATTATCAAATCTGAGATGCTCAATCTGTATGGACAATTTAACAATATTAAGTGTTCCAAATCCATGAAGATCTACTGTGTCTTTAATTTCTTTTTTGAGATGGAGTCTTGCTCTGTTACCCAGGCTAGAGTGCAGCGGTGCATCTCTTCACTGCCACCTCATCCTCCTGGGTTCAAGCAATTCTCCGGCCTCAGCTTCCCAAGTAGCGGGAACTACAGGCACGGGACACCATACCTGGCTAATTTTTAAGTTTTGTTTAGTAAAGACGGGGTTTCACCATGTTGATCAGGCTGGTCTTAAACTCCTGACCTCAAGCAATCCACCCGCCTCTGCCTCCCAAAGTTACCCAGGCCCAATTTCTTTCATGTTTTATGGTTCTCAGTACTGTATGTCTCTCACCTACGGTGAAAGGTTAAGCTTATTCCTAAGCATTTTATTCTTTTTGGTGCCGATATAAATGGGACTGTTCTCCTAATTTCCTTTTCAGATAATTCATTGTTAGTGCTTAAAAAAGGCAACTGATGACCAGGTGTGGTGGCTCATGCCTGTAATCACAACACTCTGGGAGGATGCGGTGAGTGGATCACCTGAGGTCAGAAGTTTGAGATCAGCCTGGCCAACATTGTAAAATCCTGTCTCTACTAAAAATACAAAAACAACCAAGGCATTCTGGTGGGTGCCTGTAATTCCAACTACTCTGGAGGCTGAGGCAGGAGAATCACTTGAACCCAGGAGGCAGAGGCTGGCAGTGAGCTGAGGTCACACCACAGCTCCTTAAAAAAAATAAAATAAAAAAAGGCAACTGACTTGTGTGCTTATTTTGTATCCTCCACCTTTACTAAATTTATTCTAGTAGTTTTTTTGTGGTGTCTTTAAAGTTTCTATACATATAAGATGGTCATCTGCAAAAAAGAGACTGACTTCTTCCTTTTTGATTTGGATAGCGTTTACTTTTCTTGCCTAATTGCTCTGTCAAGAATTTCCAGTACTATACTGAAGTGGTAAGAGTAGGCATCCTTGTCTTTTTCCTTGATCTTAAGAGAAAAAAGTGTCACTTTTTCACTGCTGAGTATGTTAGCTACGGGCCTTTATTATGCTGAAATAATTTCCTTCTATTCCTAGTTTGTATAGAGTTCTTACTGGGAAAGGGTATTAAATTTTGCCAAAGGCCTCTTCTTCATCTATTGAGATGATCATGTCATTTTTCTCCTTTATTCTGTTAGTATGGTATATCACATTTATTAATTTTCATATGTTGAACTACCCTTGCATCCTAAGGATGAATCTCCCTTAGTCATGGAGTATTAATCCTTTTACCTTGCTATTAGAATCAGTCTGCTAGTATTTCACTGAGGATTTTTCATCTACATTCATCAAGGATATTGAGCTATAGTTTTTTTTTGTGGCATCTCTGTCTTGCTTTGGTACTGGGGTAATGCTGGCCTACAAATGAATTTGGAAGTATTCCTTCCTCTTCAGTTTTTTGGAAGGATATGAGGATTGGCATTAGTTTTTCTTTTAATATTTCACTGAATTAATCAATGAAGCCATTTAGTCCTACACTTTGTTGGGAGGTTTCTGAAAACTGATACAA